GCTTAAGAGGAAGCAAATATTTGGAGAGAAATCAATTATTCTGCTTTGGCCACGTTAATTTTCAGATGCTTATGAGACATCATTATAGGGATGCTGAGAAGGCATGTAGGATATAAATCTCAGCCCTATATATATATTTCTAGAGTCATTTCTCACCATTGTCCTCCAAAACTTAAATTTTGTTTAGTCCTTCTTTTTGTGTTAAGTTACTACCTCTGTTCAATGAATGAAGTTATGCCTTAGAATGGAGTAAGCAAGAGAGTTCACTCTTCATTAGCCTATTCCTGACCAATAGTTAATCCTAATACTTCTCAGCTCTGGCACCTTTATGCTTTCTTGGGCTTGTTATCTGGGTACTCGTTCTGGCCTGCCTCAGGGTGAGGGCTCCTATCAAGCAGCCCCATTACCTCTTTGTTATCTGTAGTATACTTTAGTCTCTTGGCCTTGGGCTCCCCGGCAGCATCTTCCTCAGATGACCTCCTCCTTTTACCTTTCCCTTCCAAATAAAACAGAACAGTTAGGCTACATCTCACGTGACAAGAAATAACCAAACATGAGACCTGGTGTCTCTTTATCCCAGAGATCTGTAGCTACCTCCAGCTTAGAGTTGCTTAGCAGGCTGAGGAAATTGAGATACTCAGGTAAATGATGAAAGCACCTGAAATTCAGCATTCAAAAAGAAATTTATAATCTTTCTCCTTCAAACTGGCCTTCTTCTAGTGTTTCCTTTCACAGTGAATGGACACATCCTCCCACATGTGCAAGTCAGACACCTAGATGGCTCTGCCTCCATCACTCCTGTATTTAGTTTTCACCACTCTGTACTTTACCATTGTCCCATCCTCCCATCCTTTACAGAAACAGAAGCATCTTCTAGAAATGTAAATCAGATCATGTCACATCCCTGCTTAAAATCCTTCAGCGTTTTTCCTTTGCTCTTAGGATAAAGAACAGGTGCTCTAGAAGGTGCTCCTTGACCTAGCCCCTGACTATCTCTCTAACTCATCTCATGTTTCTCTTACCTTTGCACTTCATGCTTTAACCACACTGACCTTTCAGTTCCTAAAATGTCCTATTTTTTTTTCCTTCCTCCGTGCTATTCCCTTTGCCAAAAATGCTTACCTCTATACCCCTTCAGGGAGCTCTGGTAGTGTAGTGCCTAAGACACTTGACTGCTAACCAGAAGGGTGGTAGTTCAAACCCACCAGCCACTCCTTGGAAGGAAGGCTGGGCAATCTACCTCCACAGTGATACGCCTTGGTCTGACTTGACAGCACATAACAACAACAACAACAACAACAACAACAACAACAACAACAACAACACCCCTTCATGAGGAGCCCTGGTGGCACAGTGGGTAAGGCATTTGACTGCTAAGCAGAAGGTTGGCAGTTCAAACCCACCAGCTGCTCCGTGGGAGGAAGATGAGGCAATCAGCCTCCATAAAGCTTTATAGACTTGGAAACCCAATGGAGTCTTTATGGCAGTAGGTTTGGTTTTTTGGTTTATGCCCCTCCATGCCTCTCTTACTGGTTGGCTCCTACTTCTGCTTTAAATCTTAGTTCAAGTCCCATTTTTCTCAAAGAAGGAGATAAACCTCCAGATAAATCCAGTTCCTGTTATATATTATGAAAGTATAACACCCTATGCTTTCCCTTCATGGTTACGTATCAGTTTCTTATTCTTTATGTGATTACTTAATGAACGCCTTCTAAATTTAAGCTCCATAAAGACAGGGATCATGCTGGGTTTTCCATTATTATATACCACAGAATCTAACACATAGCAATCACTTGGTAAATACTTGATTGATTCATTCATTCACTTAAAACTAAAAAAGGGACCATAGTTATGACAAATCACAATTTTAAGAGTCAAAATTCCTTACCTATCAAGCTCAGTTTAGGAACTAGGTACATATCCTTTTCATTAATGACAAGGGTGGGGGCAGGTGGTGGTGGCCCAGAGTCTGAATTCTCTGTGGTGGGTACCAACGGACAGCGCTGTACAAAGTGTGTGTCTGCCAGTCGCACAAAAGCGTTGGACACTTCAGCATAATCCATGGTCTTGCCATCTGTACAACAGAAGGAAAGAGGCAGTTGAGAAGGTCTAAGATAGTGGAGGGTCTACTCCTGCAGCCAGATAATCTTAAGCTTTGGCTAGCAGCTACTGATACAGTACTGACCCTCCATAGTCTCTGTGAGCCGGTCTGCCACTTTCTTCACGACAGCTGACATTGTCATTTTCCCATTCAACAGCAGCTCCTCAACAATTAGCTCTCCTGTGTCACTGTACAGCGTTTTGGAGGTATAGATGTACCGGGGATACCTGAGCATTCGCAATATCCGGCTACACTGGGCTTCATACTCCACCACACCACGTTTGTGCACTTGGTATGTCACCAGGTTATGTTGGATAAGGACACAAAGGGCTTTTTTTACCTAGGTAGAACCCAAAAGAAAACAAACAAACCTGAAGATATAACTCAGTATTTCTGGCAATTTTTGTCCAGTGGTTTTCTAAGCATCAGATGGCTAGATAGCAATCTCCATGTTTCTTCCCTCCCTCTCCTGGAGTAGTTAACAGGAATCACATGCCAATGGAAGAAATCGGAATGATTCATTGCTATGATGCTTGTATCGCCCCTGATTCTTATCTTTCAAAGCACAATTTGCTTTCACTCTGCCATTCTCATTCCTTAAGGGTAATACTGAGAGTAAGAAAATCATGGTAAACAAATGAGGTATAGAATGGGAAAAAGAATGACTTGCCTAGAGAAGCCATAATAAGCTAGGTTCATTTTGAGAAGGAGAACCTTGGGTCCTAAGTCTCATCCTCTTTCCTCCCAAATAACCTGGTTCTGATTCTAGGGCAGGCTTCCATCCTTTTCCATTTTCTTGGGTGGGGAGTAACAATATCAAAAGGCACGTGGCAGAAGTGTAACTTAATGCTATTTAAACATACCTGATCCAGTGATGTTCCTGTGTCATGAGCAATTACTCTTAGTGGCTGGCTGCCAGTTCTGATTAGGTGGACTCCAATTTTTTCCACAATCTCTCCAAAATGCTCTTGCAGCAACAATGAACATAGTTTAATTTCTGCTTGAGTCATTGTACTGGAGTGAAGAGGACTCAGAGCTAGAAAACTGGGAGAAAAAAAAAAAAGATTGTATGATGGAAAATTTTTTTTGTAGAAAAAAAAATATATAGCTGCTGAGTATAAATTCATGTACTCTTTCTGGAGGACAATTTGGCGATATATATCAAAATCCTTAAAATCTTGCATACCTTTGACTGAACAATTTCACCTGGAGTACTCTGCCACAAGGAAATAAATAATAAGCTATCACTGGAACTCTTCTGATAATACTGAAATACTAGAAACAATGCAATGTCCTAGCAATACAAGATTAGTTCAATAAATTATGGTACAAGGGAATACTATACTCACATTTAAAATGATGTATTATAATATATATTAACAGAAAAAGTGTTCATAATGTAGTAAGAGAAAAAGCAAGTTACAAAGCAAAATGTGATATAAAATTAAATTATTGTAAAAACAAAAAAGAAAAATATGCATTAAAAGAAGACTGGAAGATGCATAGCATTAAATTTATGAGATTATGTGATTGAAAATTTTTTTAAAAAAGTTTGAGTGTAGATAGTTTTGTGATTTATCACAGACCTTAGATTCTATTGCTTGTTACAAGTCCGATGTTCACAGCCCCACTAGGAGTGAACCAAAACCAAAAACTAACCTCACTGCCATCAAGACGAATCCCACTCATAGTGACCCCCATTTGGTTTCCAAGGCTGTAAATCCTTATGCAAGCAGACTGCCTCGTGCCAAATGCCTTAACCACTACACCACCGGAGCTCCTTACTAGGTATGAACAGGCAGTATTATTTCCAATATGTTAAAGAAATAGTTTCGAAAAAGAAATTAGGAGGTAGAGGAGAGCATCTGAACAGGGCCAAAAAAACCCAAACTCATTGTTGAGAAGTTGATTCGGCTCGTAGTGACCCCTCCATGGGTTTCCGAGGCGATATCTCTACGGAAGTAGATTGCCCAATCTTCCTTCCGAGGAGTGGCTGGTGGGTTTGAACTGCCAGTCTTTTAGTTAGCAGTCAAATGCCTTAGGCACTACACCACCAGAGTTCCTTGTATAGGACAGGGTCTTTCAAATTGATGAAATATGTTGTTTACCGTACAGTATTTAATTCTGAAATTTATACTCCTTGGCAAAATAGACACAAACAAAAACGGACATAGTTGATTACATGATTAAACCAGTTGCCCTGGATTCTATTCCGACTCATGGCGACCTCATGTATGTCAAGGGAGAACTGTGCTCCACAGACTTTTCAATGGCTGAGTTTTCAAAAGTGGATCACTAGGCTTTTCTAAGGAAATGCCTCTAGATGAACTTGAACCTCCAACCTTAATGCTTAACTGTTTGCACCACCCAGATTTTCCTTATAGGATTATTTCCTTCTGATCATAAGGTGCTACCAAATACTGGTTTGCTCATTCATTCCTCCGAATTCCTCAGAATCCAAGTGTCTCCCAGTATCAGTGTCACCCATCCACATGTCTTTGGAAAAGCATCCCCAGGCCACCACCTTCACGCAGGTTCGTGTTCGGAACTTGGTCTCCTGGTCCAGAGTCAGGGCCGCTTCGTTCACACAGCATTTCCCACTAACCTCTGGGTCAATGCAATCCAGGTGCTCCAAACCTAGTGCCTCGAGTTCCTCCCAACGACTTCGCGCGGCTCCCACGAGCCGCCTGGGTAGAAAGGAGCCACGGTCCCTTCCTGCAAGAGGACCGCCGCCGGGTAGAACCAGGAAGGGGCAAAAACGTGGGCCGCTCTACCCCAGAGTTTCGGTGATTTCCGGGACGCTCTTTCTTTCCTCTCGCTGGAAGGTTGGAGGACCGGCGAGGGGCTGTTTAAGGAGCCGGCGGGCGGACCGCCGCGGGAGGTCTCCTTCCTGCGCCTTTTTGGTGCTGGGAGGCGGGCCGCGGGGTCGCGGTCCGCGCCGCCGCTGTCTTGCTGGGCCCAGAAGACTCACGTGACCGACGCGGGTTCTGGAGCCGCCGGCTGCTCTAAGGAGGCATCGGTGGTGGAGGAGGAGACCGCAGCTCGCGAGGTAGCGGCCTGGCGAGGGACAGGCCGGCTGCCCTGGCCGACAGCCACGGCGGAGAAGAAAAATGGCGGAGGCCTCGGCGGCCGGGGCGGGTTCGGGCGCTGCTGTAGCCGCGCACCGATTCTTCTGCCACTTTTGCAAGGGCGAGGTTAGCCCCAAACTACCGGTAAGAGCCTGGTGTCCTCTGCGCTCGGGCACCTGCATGGATTCCTTCTACCGATTTCCCGGAACTAGGTCTTAGGCTTCCTGCACAGCTCTCATTACCCTGACGTCGGTCCTCGAGTACCTGCTGCCCACCCTCTCCGGTCGCTAGTCCCAAGCCCTGGGCCCGGGCTGGCGGCCTGTATTTTCCCCCTGGGATGGTCCTCCTGCCCCTCATTCCATCTCCCCGCTTTACCTCTGTCTTTTTGCCTTTCTTGGCAAGTTCTCCTCTGACAACTCTTCCCCCAATTTTTTTGCACTCTTCTTCACCTTGTCTCCTTCCCAAGATGACCTCTCTTACCCCCTCCCCCGATTCTCTTTCCGCTCTTGCTTCTCACCTTCCACTATTTCCTTTTCCACTTTTAGCAGCTCCCTCCTCCCGCTTGGCAACCTCCCTCCTCCCTTCTCTTCAGTGAAATTGAATAGCGGATTGTTGAGGATTGCCCCTATTCTGTTGTCTCTAGGGAAGGAAGGAAGAAAAGCGCAAAAACGGAGGATTGGAAAAGAACCATAGGGGAAAAAGGGGGATTTTGCTATTCAGTGGTTTCCAGGATTTTTGTGAAAGTGAAAGAGCAGTGTAGTAATGACTTGCAGACTGCCTGAGCTTCCTGTCATTCTGGAAGAAAATGGTTTTAGGAAGGACGCAGAACATATTGTTTCAACTTGGTTTATTTTGATTGTGGCGTCGCTTGTGTCACCTTCCTTACCCGCTTCCCTTAAAAGAAAAAAAGATTTAGGACAGAATGTTGGAGACTCCATTCTCTGACATAAAATTGATTTCACCAGTTTCTGTCAGACTATTAGCTCCCTAGAGAGGTAATTCAGTGATTGCGAGGAAAATGCTTCTGAGGCATGTTAATCAGCTCCAGCACCCCAAATCAGAACTTGTTTTGCCTTGGCTTATAGCTACTGCCAGGAGACTCATCGGGTTGAATGCTAATCCTACACTCAGCCAGCTGTAAGAATTACTTAATGGTGGTTCTTATCCTTTAACAGTCTCCAGGTTCAGCCTTAAGATAGGGTGGCTATACAAAAAATTATCTCTGTATAATATTTAAGGTACAGACTATGAGAAAGCTTACTAAAGTATGTCTGCATATCTTCTTATTTCATAGAAACCCAAATGGAGTCCAGTGAAAAGTGCCTAAAGCGTTTGCCTTTTCATCTAAAAATTGTACTTTTTCAGGCTTTTCTACAACATTTTCTTGTCTATCTACCTACTCCCAAATTCATAGTCATAATTTCATCTAACTGCTACTTAGTTTTGGTTTCTGGTTTGGTTGGCTGTGTATGTGTTTTTGCTATATTTCAGTGCTGGAAAGAGCAGGTGCCTTTTTTTTTTCCCAGCAGACATCAGAGTGTCTAGAACTCTGTTGCTACAGAGAGGGAATCTGAATGCAGCCATTACTTTTGTGTGACCAGTGACACGTTCAGTGTGATGCCTTATTGAATATTGTAGCCTTAATTTCTTCTGATGTTTAAATCAATGCTGGTCCTTGCTTTTAAGACTGAGAAAACTTAGTCCTATAATTTATGACATCTTTTCTTCTTACCACTTGAAGTCTTCACTTCAAAACGCTCTTGGAAAAGAATAATTTGAAAGATTTTTTAGGTGTTTTTCTAAGCCTTAGTTAGAAGCCCGAAGGAGAATTTATCTTTTCACAAGCTGATTTATGATCTGTCTTGCCCTATTTATAAATTGAAGCCCAACATAATTAAATATAAATGAATACTTTCTATGTGTGAATAAGGATGTCTTTGAGATGGTATGGAAGACTGTATGGTCCCCATGGTCACAGAGGACATCAAGCTCAACTGGCATAACATATTACACAAACACATTGTTCTGCATCCTACTTTGGTGAGTAGCAACTGGAGGCTTAAAAGCTTGTAAGTGGCCATCTAGATGCAATGATGGGTCTCTCCTCATCCAGAGCAAAGAAGAATGAAGAAAACCAAAGACGCATGGAAACAGTTAGTCCAAGGGACTGGCAGACCATGTGATCCTCAGCCTATATGACCATAACACCAGAAGAACTAAATGGTGCCTGACTACCAATGTCAGTCACTCAAGGGGGATCAGGGCAGGAAATCCTGGATAGAGTGGGAGAACAATGTGGAATAAAGCTCAAAATCATAAAAAAAGACCAGATTTGCTGGTCTGATAGAGCCTGGTGAGACCCATGAGCGTATGGCCCCTAGCAAACCAAACAGGAGTGGGAAGACAAATGAGTCTATACTCACAAAGATATATAGGCGTGTCAGAGGATACTTATATGTGCTGGAACTGAATTCATTCCTGTGGCTTCCAGCCAAATAAAAGACCAGCATATGGGCTAAACATTTACATCAGATAGATAGAGTCCTTGGAGAGATCACTCATGGGAGAAAAGAAGGGCAGTGTATGAACAGGGAGACTGCTTTGGGGGCAGGAGTACATGGGAGGGAAGGACACAGGAAAGAGGTAACTGTGGGGAGGAAGTGGGAAGAGAGCTATTACATTGTGGGGAATTGCAGTCAATGTCATGAAACAAAATGTGTATGAACTTCTGTATGGAAAATGAATTTGCTCGGTAGACTTTCACCCAAATCACAATAAAAATTTTAAAATAAAATATAGTGTACCATTAAAAAAAAAAAAGAAGAATATATGGTTTCTGCTCTTAAGGACCTCGTAGTCTTGTTGGAAGAACAAGACAAACCAGGAAAAATAACATATGGTGCTCTTTGTTTTCTGAAATAGCCAGGCACTAAGGGGATACTCCTCGGAAGGAAGGTTGGGCAATCCTACTTCCGTAGTGATACTGCCTCGGAAACCCAAGGAGGGGTTGCTATGAGTTGGGGCCGACTCGACGGCACATAACAACAAAAGGGGATACATAGGCCCTATACCTACAAACCAAACTAACTTCCAGAAGGGAGGGGACATGATACAGTAATGCGTATTCTTTTTTTTCTTTTTATTGTGATCGAGTGAAAGTTTACAGCAAATTGGTTTTCAGTTTGACAGTTCATATGCATTTTGATTTGTGACATTCATTGCAATTCCCACAATGTTATAGCACTGTTCCCATTGCCTCCCTGTGTTTACATTTCCATTTGTCCTTCTTTCCTGTCTTTCCTGCTTCCTGAGCTTTATCCCTGGGCAAATGCTGTCTTTTGATTTCCTATGGTTGGTTGCTCTGGTAGCATAGTGGCTAAGACACTTGCCTGCTAACCAGACGGCTGGCGGTTCAAATCCACCAGCCACTCCTCGAAAGGAAGGTTGGGCAATCCTACTTCCGTAGTGATACTGCCTCGGAAACCCAAGGAGGGGTCACTATGAGTCGGGGCCGACTCGACGGCACATAACAACAACAACAACAACAACAACATGGTTGGTTGATCTAAGGAGTGTGTACCTCCCTTGTGTTTTTGTTTACCATATAGACCTGTCTATTGTTTGGCTCAGACCTTTGGCTCAGAGTCTGGTGGCATAGTGCCTAAGACATTTGACTGCTAACCAGAAGGCTGGTGGTTCAACCCACCAGCCACTCCTCGGAGGCAAGGTTGGGCAGTCTACTTCCATAGAGATCAACCTTGGAAACTCAAGGAGTGGTCGCTATGAGTCGGATCCGACGCCACGGCGGTGATTTTGGTTTGGTTTGGTTATTGTTTGGCTGAAAGTGGAGTTATGGGAATGAGTTCTGTTCTAGGCCTGAAAGGTGCCTGAAGGCCATAGTCTTGGGGATTCTGATGTACAGCATTGTTTTTGTAGACTATGTTACGCCAGTTGACCTTACCAGTCTATAAGTGGATAGATATATAGAGAAGCAAGCCAAACAGGAGTGGAAGGCAAATGAGTCTATACCCACAAATATATGTAGGTGTGACAGAAGATACTTCTACATATATATTTGTATGTGCTGGAAATCAATCTATGAATATAGTAGAACATACTAGAGGTAAACTTGGAAAATTCTTAGCCATAATCAAACACCTTGAGGGAAGGAGTCACTGGGTCAGCATTTGGCTGTTAACCAAGTCGTTGGTGGCTTGAACCCACTAGCTGCTCTATGAAAGAAAGATGGGACAATCTGTTTCTGTAAAGATTTACAGCCTTGGAAACCTAGTGGGGGTAGCTATGAATTGGAATCAGTAGCAGTGAGTTTGGTTTGGTTTTTATTACTCAGTAGTTTTTAAGGAGGGTGTTAATTTAGTTTCCCTGTGTTTGCTTCCGCCCCCGCCCCCCTTAGTCTTCTCATCGTTGATTTCTTATTTTATAGTATTATGACCTGAGAAGATGCTTTGCAGTATTTTGATGTTTTCAAATCTATTGAAGCTGGCTTTGTGGCGTAACATATGGTCTATTCTGGAGAATTATCCATATGTGTTGGAAAAGAATATATTGTACTGTTGGGTGAAGTGCTCTGTACATGTGTATAAGGTCAAGTTGGTTGATTGTATTGTTTAGTTCTTCTGTGTCTTTGTTGAGTTTTTTCCTAGTTGTTCTATCCTTCACTGAAAGTGGCGTCTTAAAATCTATTGTTATAGTGGAGTTGTCTGTTTGTCTTTTCAATTCTGTTAAAGTCTGATTTGTATATTTTGGGGCTCTTTCATTGGGTGTGTAGATATTTATAAGGGTTATGTCCTTTTGTTTGATTGATACTTTAATCATTAATGTTTTTCCTTGTCTCTTATGGGGGTTTTTGTTTTAAAGTCTCTTTTATTAGAAATTAATATTGCTACTTGCGGTGTAGTAAATTACTTAGTGTGGCTTTTCTACCCATAAGTCTTTGTAAACTCCAAGGTGGGAATTACTATTAGCAACTGAGGAGATCCTGATTTTAAAGTCGCCCACCTGGGTTATTTCTGTTGGGCATGGCACAATACAATGTTCTGGGAGGTTTCCACTCTCTCTCACGTGCTTAGAGTTCT